TTTTCACTGAACATATTTTCCTCTCTGCTTATATACACGGTGCCTGTCAAAAAGGTATTATTCCACTCGTCAGTTTTATAACTTTTGAAATAATGAAAAAATACATATTATAAAGGAAAAATCATAATTCAATAAATCGTTCATTAATCAAAATCAAACAAGTGTTCAATTTTACTGTGTTGACAGTATCGAGATTTTATCCAGATTTTGTTGCCGCATGAATGACTATTTCATCTCGATTATTTTGCTTTTGAGATCATAATGGATTGTTAGCTTATTGATTTACATTTAATTTGGCTTTAGATAATACTAAAAAGAAACATGTTCGAAGCTGTCAAATCCATCCTATGAAAAATTCATTGTATGCAATCGATAATGTATCGATTTGATTTAGAATAATAAGACACAAAAATAACGTTCTTAAGATAGTTCGCTCAATTTTTCAATTTTTTTTTTCATTATTAAAATCACATTAATATTATAATAATTCTAATAAAGAAATATAAAATAATTTATAATACTTGTTAATATTACAATTATAAAATAAGTAGATTTTCTCTCTATCTCACTCACTCTCTCTTTCTCTTTCTCTCTCTCTCTCTCTCTCTCTCTCTCTCTCTCTTTCTCTCTCTCTCTCTCTCTCTCTTTTCTCTCTCTCTCTTTCTCTCTCTCTCTCTCTCTCTCTCTTTCTCTCTCTCTCTCTCTCTCTCTCTCTCTCTCTCTCTCTCTCTCTCTCTCTCTCTCTCTCCGTCTATGTATACACACATGTACACGCATATAAATTATATTTATATAAAATTATCTTATTTTATTTAAATTACTTTAGAGAATTTACCATACTACCTACTTTACTATCTACTTAGTAGAATATTTTTCTTATAAAACTAATAGGTAATATATATCCTTAGACCTTTTCTATCTCCTTAAGTTATCAAACATGAAAGACGAGTATGATAGCAATGCGTTAGATCCTCAAATATAATCTTGATCTCGATTTCCAATTACGTTACTACGATTCGTGGACACATTGTCCGATCGGAACGACCGTTTATCTCACGTTCGACGATAAAAAAAATCAAGTTTACAAGCCACCACCTTGATTTCTCGACTGTAGATACGGGAAATGGAATTAAAAAATGAAATGAATTGAAATGAAATAAATATAAATATAAATATAAATATAAATATAAAACGAACAAAAGAAAATTGAAGAAAAGCAAGAAAAAGAAAAAAAAACAAATAAAAGAAAAGAAATAAATAAACAAATAATAAAGAAATAAACGTAAAACTACTATGATTTATTTGTAAATGTAAGCCACGATAAACATACAGAGAAACGAGTCCCCCGTAAGTCTAATCGGGTTGCAATTAACGTTCGAGTTTCCAATTAACGAAGTCGAAGTCGATCTTGAATTTTTTTTCTTTTTCTTTTTCTGAAAAAATACTTCGTGGGTGCGCGCAAACGTATTCAGAAACGCCTTCAATGGACTCGATTATCTACTGGCGAATGTTTTAATTACGATATAGACATTTTTTCTTCCGACGTAAGAAGGTTATTTATAATTAATCGCTGAGAATGATTATATACGAGGTACGAAGTAAATAAGTACGTATTTTACGTTGCCTTATGAACTTTTATCGAACGCCATTTTCTTTCAAAGCTCGATGGCTCAAATCCGCCATTTTGACATAGCTATATATAGTTGACATTTCTGGATTATTGTCAGCCATTTTTCACGTAGAACAATTGATCAGTGATATTAGATAATAAATTGTTTTCTATAGAAAATTCTCTTCGCAATAATTGCTAATATTTATACAATGGAATATCTTTAAATGTTAGATCAGTATTTTAAATACGAGAATGGTCGATCATAATAAAATCATATTAATAATAAAATGTCGATAGAATTAATTAATATAATACAAGTGAAGTTACGAAAATTATTTATATCGATTGAAATATTTATAAATATATACTGTTAGTTTATTTTGCAAAAATAATATCCTTTATTATTAATTAATAAATATATTAATCAAATAAATACAATCGTTTTTACAATCGTTTTGATCGACAATAAATAAATTTGAATTGAAGATAAAAATCTTTCAATTTAACAAATATTCATATTTTTTTCCTGTCTTCGATCTGTTTAAATTTTTTATCCCAGATAAAAAAAGTCCTTGCTTCATTTATTAATCGACCGGATAAAGAAACGACAAGATTTTGTGTTTTGTGCGCTTATTCTTACTAAAAAAGAAAAAAAAAAAAAAAGAAAAGAAAGAAAAAGAAAATAATAAAGAAGAGAAAGATAAACGGGCTAAGAAAAAAAGAAAGATAGAATCAAAAATTCAAATTTAATTTTTACCTGACATTTTGCGATCTGTCGAAAAATACAAAAAACAAACCCTGCGAAAATAATAAAATCCTTTACCCTATGAAATCAACAATTCTCTCGAACGAATTGTTGTTACGATTAACCATCAAGTCCAAAATAATGTAAAGAAAATTCAAAAGACCGACAAGATAGAAAGAGAGAGAGAGAGAGAGAGAGAAAGAGAGGTCTCACGAAAGGGCTGGTGTTAACAAAGGGGGAAACTTCGCAATTGCTCTTGATGCCAGATTACAGTAGACATACTAGAGAAAAGGGAGGAAGGAAGAAAGAAAGAAAAAGAAAGAAATAAAGAAAGAGAAAGAGAGGGAGAGAGAGAGAGCATGCAAGAACAAGAAAGAAAGAGAGAGAGAGAGCATGCAAGAACAAGAAAGAAAGAGAGAGAGAGAGAGAGAATAAAGAAAGGGTGAAAGGAGATATGAGAAAGGGAAGGAACACAAGGGGAGTCCATAAGTCAGCGTATACGAGGCGGCACGGATAGCCTGAGATATCCACTGAGGAACGATCCTGTGTGGTTTATCCTGGGAGCGATCTGGTCGGATATTATAGGTCGGTAAATGTGGAAGGGAGAAAAGGTTGAAATAAAGCGAAAGAAAGAAAAAGAGAGAGAGAGAGAGAAAGGGAAAGAAAGAGATAGGTTTAGTCCGAGCGAAAAAGGCTTTGGTGAAAATTCAGTTTGTTGTTTGCTATCTTCAGTAGTAGTATTAGTAGTAGTAGTAATAGTAGTAGTAGTAATAATAGTAGTAGTGTGTAATAGTAGTGTAGTAGTAGTAGTAGAGGGCGGCGACAAACACGATAGTTGGTATCGTCCTCTCCTTGATTTTCAACTAAAGCCAACACAAACGGAAATCTCATTGACCACTCACTATCTTCGAATTCATTCTGAGTGAACGCGGGGGCGTTGAGAACTCCGCCTCCGACCATTTACCAAGGAGCTTTAGATAGTCACAACAGCCCGCCTTCTTTCAACGTTAGTTGGATATAACCCAACCCATACAGAGATACGGAACATATACTGACATACATACATATATACATACATATATATATATATACACATTATACATATATACACATATATATATAAACCACGCCGCACGTATACTGCACGTATACTGTAGTTAAGAACGAAACAGATGCTACACACAACACAGACAGAAAGTATAAAAGTTAATGTGTAAGAATCACTTTTTTTAGTTGTGATACCAGCTCCAATAACCAGAGAGACTCCACGCCTGGGTTACCACGCTAACGTCCCTCTCTTTCTCTCTCTCTTTCTCTTTCTTTCTCTCTTTCTTTTTCTCTCTCTTTCTCTCTCTTTCTCTCTCTCTCTCTCTCTCTCTCTCTCTCTTTCTCTCCCCTCTACCATCAGACAGCACACTACTTTGACTCTTCGCCATATCTCCTTTGTATACTCGGCTTTACTCGGTTAAATCCGTTTCGATTCGGGTAGAATTCTCCGGCCTCCAACAGCCTATTCCGGCCTCCTTTATATTCCGGCCTTCTTCTTTGGGTCTACCTCTACTTATCTACCTCTCTCTAACCACTACCTTTCTCTTTCTCTCTCTCTCTTTCTCTCTCTTTCTCCCTCTTTCCCTTCTCGATAATCATCTACCATCTCTTTCCCTCATATCTTATACGTTCTCACTCTTCTTCTCAAGAGCGCCGGACTGTGGAGTGCCACGAGAGAGAGAGGTGACTGTCCAGGACAGTTTCTGAGCCGCAGTCATCGACTGCACCACGTCCTGCGCTGCTCTGCTGCTATACTCTGCTGCTGATACTGATACTGGTGCTTGCTGGTGCTGGTGCTGGTGTTACTGCTGTTGCCGATCCTTCTTCTCCTGGTGCTGATGATCCTACCGATTCTGCCGCAACGTTGTTGTTATTAACTCTTTAGAACATCCTCGTTCGTTCGTTCGTTCATTCGTTAAAAGTAACGAATTCTTCGTTGTTGTTGTTGACCGTTGTTATTGTTATTGTTGTTGCTGTTACTGTTGTCCCGCTACTACTGCTGCTGCTGATGTTGTTGTTATTGTTGTTGTTGTTGTTGTCGTCAATGTTGTTGTTGATGTTATTGTTGATATTACTGTTGTTATTTTGTTTCTTTCTCTTTCTTTCTCTCACCCTTTAATCTTTCTTCCATCAATTTTCTTCGGTCAGTTCTTTATATATTTTTGTTAATCTCGATATTATTTTATTCGTGATTAATATTGATCATAAGAGAGAGAAAGAAACAAAGAGAGAGAGAGAGAGGGAGAGAGAGAAGGAGGAAGGGGGAGAGAGAGAGAGTGAATTTATTAAGGAACGATGGACATGATGTTGGATATTATGATTTTGTTAAATATCATGTGATCTTTTTTTTTTTTAATAACGACGTTTACGGTGTTTATTATCCGATTTCTATACTCGCGGGTGTAATAGAAGAAAAAAGGACCGAGTGATTTCGACGATTATATCGCCATTGGGACAAAAAAATACGATTGATTTTTATGGAGATATGTGTGTGATCATTGTGACAAACTGTTAATACCGAAAGAGACTTTTACCGGTTGATGAATCAACAAATGATGAAAGAAAAAACTTTTGGAAACTTTCACTGATATTTTT